ATTAGAGGAACTAAAAATGAAAATTGACGATGAAAAAACTAAGATAAAGATAATCATCGGCAAAAAAGGTAAGAAAGATAATGAAATAAAGATATGTAAAATGTAAAATGTAAAAACTCATAATTAGAAATAGTTACAGCTTACGAATACCTCGAAAGTATAATTACTAACAACGAAAAAATAGACTGGGAAATAACAAATAGAGCAAAGAAATCAAACAAGTTATACTATGCATTAGAACCAATACTGGGAAAAAGAGAAATTACCCGAGAGGCAAGGATAAAAATATAAAACACAATAGTGATACCGACTGTTCTCTATGTAAGTAAAAACTGGATAATTCTGGAAAACAAGAGCAGGATAAATGCAATGGAGATGAGGCGAGATAGTTGGAAAAGACGAAATGCGATAGATTAAGCAACGAGACTATTAGAAGAATGGCCAACCAAGAACAAATAATGAATAAAGTAGCAAAGGGCCCAATGACCTGGTATGGGCATCTGATGAGGATACAACCCAACAGAATTATAAGAAAAGTCCATGAAGCAAAGAACATTGTAAAAAAAGAGGCAGGCCAAGAAAAAATGGATATACCAAGTCGTAGATAGGAGAAAAGTTAAACAAAACACTCGAGGAATTGAAAATAATGGCAGGAAATAGAAAAGAATGGAAGAGATGGGTGAATAGAAATTAAAGTAGCTAGCCCAAATCCGACACCCTGATATGGTAAAAGGAAGTAAGGAAGAGATAGAAAGAAAAAAAGATTGTGTTTAAAATTTGCATTTCTTTATTCATCCTTCTCAAAACTTGTTTGTGTGTAACGTGCCTACGATATTTTCAGAATTATTTTATACACCCACAACTCGAATGATTCCAGTATTTTCATTGATGTCACATTTAAGGTCCAAGCTTACATTTTATAACACAAAAGACGAGAAGAGGACCGCACTTCGCCAACCTAACTCTTAGTTCCAACTTTAAATCTCTTGTGCAGAACATTCTTCTCATTTTGTGAAAATGTGGTCTAGACTTTTCTATTCTGATTATGACTTCTTGAAAATAATCATTTATAGTTAATTATTGTTCCAAAAAATCCATATTTGTCCACTCGTTCGACATTCGTTCGGTTCATTAGAAGACTATTGGTATTTATTTGAGTTGTTTATCTTCATTAGGTTATTATTATCTTCATTAAATATGCAAATCTTAGAATTAGAATATTAAAACATTAATTATTAAAAAATATTCTAGAGAATCAGGTTATTTATTTACAAGTTTCAATGTGGATTGGTTCTTCAAGGCATTATCACAATCCGTAGATTATACAGTGAAAATATGGTCAGAGATGACCGGAATTAAAAAGCCGACTATCTACAGGAGTATATGTAAAAAAATTAAGGAATCATGAAGCAACCAAAACCGTCCAAGGAAGGAATAGAAAACCTATCAACTATTTTAATAACGAAACTCTAACTTTATGTCCACTTGCCATTTTGCCAATTCCAGTAATTCCTACTGATTTCAGTACTAAAAATATTAGTTAGTTGCGCGAGTCAATTTAATATGAAAAATGTAATTTTTGCATTGATAACCTAATAATGAAGTTTGTTTTATGATAAGTTAACATTTATGAAGCAAATAAAACACCATATACGAACAAGAGATAAAGTTCCGGTTTACACCAAGTCAAATCGGTATCCACACCACACATCCATAAGGATGATCGATCAAGAAATCATCAAACCGAGTCAATTGCCCTGCTCGTCCCCGATGTGGGTGATTCCAAAGAAACCAGATGCCCCAAGAAAGATTAAATGGCGAATAGTTGTCGACTACAGGAAGGTGAACGAGAAAACCATCGACGATCTATATCCAATTCCAAATATAACAGACATTCTGGATAAACTAGGACGCTGCCAATATTTTTTCACCCAGTTGTAGTAAGCGGATTCCTTCAAATTAAAATGAAGAAAGAAGATATCTAGAAGACTGCATTTAACCTTGAAAATGGCCACTATGAATACCTAAGAATGCCATTCGAACTCAAAAGTGCACCCTCAACATTCCAGAGAGTAGGTAATGGAGAACATACTGAAAGGACTTACAGGCGAAATATATCTAGTATACAGGGACATTTTCAACCTCTTTTTAAGAACATATGGTAAATCTTAAGAAGATTTTCGAGAAATTAAGAGAAACAAGATTTAAAATACAAGTTGACAAATGTGAATTCCTTAAGAAAAACTAATGCTTATACTAATATAAAAATTACCACTAATACGTTATGCAAGCAAGACTATTATTTATAAATACTAAAATAATTAACCAAAAACGCCTAAATAGGTTTTTAAAAACTAAATACGTTCTTTCAAGATATATTACTTGTAGATGGAATAGTACAGTATCTACTATTCTGTAAGTTTCAGCATGCCAGATAAAATTTATTTAAACCGATAACATTTTTATTAAATCTTGTAATTTGTCAAAGTGTTGTACAAAATAATTGATATGACAATCCTGCTAGTATGACGATTCCAACGATTCGCTTGAAGCGTTTCGAGGCGGAAAGTAATGCAATCTATCGATGATAAATACTATCAACGTTTGAGATGGAGCCACCTCTCTAATATACAATTTGATGCCGGCAGTTCAAGATATAATTATTGTTTAACGAGATTTTTCATATGTCTAGGAAAAAATCTTCAACGTTTTATTGCAAATATTTTTCACTTTTACAGTTTTATATATGTTGTTATTAAAATATTTTCCAGTTTCTTACCGGTAGCTTTATTATAAGCCGGAACATAATATTTTTTCCCATTGTGACAAACTGTAAATTCAAAAACTTTCAAAAAATTCATAAGTATTTCTTAGAGTTAGAGGAGTTAGAAGAAATTGAACCCTCCAATTTTTAGTACTGAATCGGTGCTCGCATCTCATTTGTAGATACAATATTTTTAGTACTGAATTTAGCATAATGGCAAGCAGACCTAAGATAAAAATTTGAGAAAACTGCTTTTTAAATGGTGTTTTACAAGCATTCATTGAAGACTAATGATTGCCACTAAGATATGAATGCTGATGTTTTTAAGGAAAACTTTGACCAAATGTGAGAGCTAATTCCAACAGATTCTGTGAGTTAGATGTTCCATATAATTCACGATCTGAAAAATTGTTTAAGACTGCCCATTGGTTTTTAAAATACGTTATTAACTATTTAACTTATATGAACTTCAGTGAAAGATTTTTAGATAAGAAAAAATCCTCCTCTATCTGTTCTCCTTCGTTAAAAAAAGAAAAAAATTATATATAAAAAGGACTGAAATAATTTGAACAAGCATTTAAAAAAAATCAATACAGAGAAGTGACAATACTGTATAACGTATTATTAAGGAAGAGAAGAGAATCTGAGAATTTTGTCTTTAGAATCATAAAAATACAATTTTACAAAAAAAATCGATCCTCTCACTTCTGATAGCAAAGTTACATGTTCTCCGGTTTTGGTTCCAATTTTGGAGTATTTTAAAATTTAGCATTCACCGGTAAAATTGTGAATATTTCCCATGCATGCATGTGTACTTGGTTTCTCCCATTCATTATTGCTAAATAAAATATCTACATATAATTTTTATATTGCATTTTTTTCGATTTTTACTAATTAGAATTATGTATAATAATCGTTTTGAACTTTTTTCATTTTGTTCAATTTTCGTGTTTTTTTTATTTTATAGTTTTTATTGTTTTTTTATAAAATCAATTTGTATTATTTAATTTGTCTGAATGACATACTACAAGAAACTGGGCTGGAGATAAATTTCGAGAAAACCAAAATGATGACCAATATGGTTCCCAGCGAATAACAACAAGGTCGAATTAATCGATAAATACACATACTTGGGTCATGAAATTAGAATAACCAGAGACAACCAAACCTGCGAGCTAAATAGACGAATCACGTTGGGATGGGAGGCATATGGAAGGATGAGAGACATTTTTAAAACAAATATCCCAATTCACCTGAAAAGGAAGGCATTTAACCAATGCGTCTTACCAGTCTTGACCTATGGAGCAGAGACCCTAACTTTAACGAAAGCTACTGCCGAAAAACTGAGGGTAACACAAAGGCGAATGGAGAGATCAATGCTGGGCAGGACCTTGAAAGATCGCGTGAGAAATGAGGAGATACGCCGACGAACTGGCGTAGACGATATTATACTGCGAATCAATAAACAAAAGTGGAGGTGGACTGGACATGTTGCTAGAATGGAAGACGGAAGATGGACGAAGAGATTATTGGAGTGGAGACCAAGAGCCGACAAGCAACGTCGAGGCAAACCACCCACCCGATGGACAGACGACCTAAGGAGAATAGAAACAAACTGCAGCAGCTAAAGATAGAGAGAACTGGAGACGTTTGGAGGAGGCATATATCCAACAATGGATGTGAAAATGGGGCTGGATGATAATGATGATGAATTTGTCTGAAATGAGTACTTATAGACAAAGCAAAAAAATATTCCCATGAGATATTTTTGCATAATTAGAACCAAAGTCATGTTCTTTGGTTCTAACCGAAGTAATAAACTTGGATATTATGTTGTCATAAAACACCTTTTCTTGCCAGCTCCTCACATTCCCTATATGCAAGAAAAATGCAAAGAATGCGCACGAATGAGATAAAATATTTTATGTCAGCGCTATTCTACTCAAAACAACACAACCGGATTAAGTGTAAACTGAAACCAAACAAATCTTCTTAAAATTGTGACTTACCAAAAAAGTCCATATCCTTATCAAAACTTAGTATTCAAAATACTCCTTTTATCAAAATCAGTTTTACATGCATAAACAGAAACACTAAAACTAAAAAATAACAAATTTAACCTTCTGTCGAATGTGTCTGGTTTGATGTACTTTATCAGACTTGAACTACATCGAGGTCAAAAAAGTTTGATAAGACTATAGAACTGACTATATAAAACTTCCACAGTGTGGGCAATCTTTTAGTAAGCATCCCGACGTTCTTGCAAACTTATAAGAAGTTGAAGTGCTCATTTTTTAGATTTTTGTGCCTTTAACACGTGCGAATTATCTAGTTCTGAAGATTTGAAAAGCAGCTAAAATATTACTGAAGTAAGTAAAACAAACATATTTTTTTACATATACCCTCAGAGGCGGATATAGCTGAATGACTAGGTATATTAAGCTATTAAGTTATTAAGCCCGATGGCTCGGGTTCGATCCCGACAGACATCAGAAATTGTTCAATTTGGAACTTTCAAAATATTGATAATTCTTTATTATATTCACTGTTTTATGCATCTTTACATACCTATCCAAGATCTACCTTACTAATATTTTTAAATCGAGATTCATGTTTATTCCTAACGTTTAGCAGTTTTGAATTTTCGCTCGAATAAAAAGCTTTAATTTTTTTTTATTACAATAAAATTTGACATCCTATTGAGTAACAACAAATCCCACAAGTTTGCATTATGTTTATCACACATGCACGTATGTCGCATGTCTTACAAGTATCCGTTCTCGGTCTCGAAAATTAAAATTTCTTTAATTCGAAATAGGTACACAATATACAGTATGCTACACTAGAATCTAACAAAAATCTTAAGTTATAGGTATAAGTGTCAAATTCAGTACCCGAATACTGTTAATTTTTAAAACAGCGTTATTTATTCAAAAAATAGTTTTGATTTAATATAATTAGATATACATAATTAAATTAGAAAATCTTTAAATATTAACAATTTTGGGCACACCTCATTCTACTAAAATACAGAGAAAACCTTAAACTTCTTACCTCTAGTTCCTTTATATCATCCTTCGTCTTATCGGCAGCAACTAGCAGTACACAGAATATCAGAAAAATTACGTTTGTTGCCATATTCGGTTTAGTGTGAACCGCGATTATGTTACACCTGTATTGTTTGACCACGTCTACTTCAATTCCTTCAATCTCGTTATTTAAATATTTCAACCGTTATTTAAATATTATTGGTCGAACTTTTTCCGCCTCCTTAATGATTATTTCCTTCCAGAGGCGTAGTCGAGATAAGAAAGAAACATTATTTATTAACTATTGCAGAAACGAAGATAACTTTTAGATTGTTTTTGTTTATTATGCAGCCCATTTCATTGACAGTCTTAATTACTGCCTGGAAAACAACTGAAATCATATATATATATATATATATATATATATATATATATATATATATATATATATATTTATATATATATATATATATATATATATATAATATATATATATATATATATATGATTTCAATTGTTTTCCAGATTTGACTCCGCGTAAAATAATTTTGGTTTTTAGAAAAACTATTGCTTTAGCGATGTTTCGGCAAGATCACAATTGCCATTGTCAAGTCAATTTAGTTCTGCTTCTTCTTCCCTGATGTTCGCCTGGAACCTAGGTATACAGAATGACGACATAAAGAATGTACTGGGAAAGTTCGGCATGGGTCAGAGAAATGAAAAAGGAAACTGCTAAATCGAGTTTGCTATTACAAATAACTATTCAATTATCAATATTTAAATACCACGTACGTCAACTTTATACTTTGAAAAGTCCTGGAGATAGGTCTAGAAATTAAATTAACTACGTCCTCACTAATATTCGCTGGAGACCATCAGTCAGACTTCAAACAGTCAGATCATATTCAGGGGCAATATGTGGAACAGATCAACTCTCCTCGTAGCTCAAGTAAATCTCAAACTTAAAACCCTATCAAACGAAGAGAGACAAAGGGAACTAAGGAAGAAGGGTGATCTTCTCCAAGAGTGCAAAAAAGTATACCCTCTATTGGTAAGAGTGCATCACAAGAAATATGGGAGACTATTAAACTTGATGTAATAACACCAATTAATCACCCAAAGTTAAATACTTAGTCTTGTGAAACAGAAACACTGGATAACAAATGAAACACTTAAAATAATTGAGAATACAAGAAATCTTTGTAAAATTGGTGTACCTACATAATGAAAGAAAAAAGCTAGTATAAGAGACCTCAACAAAGAATTAAAACGAAGATGCAACGCTAATAAGCAACAATGCTATCGCAATATGTGCAAAGAACTTGAGAGCCACGATAAAAACCATTACCCAAGTGATCCATTTAGAACAATACGCTACGTACCAAGAGACTTTGAAGCCAGAACTAGGACCGTTGAAGACCACACAGGAACGTTGAGAACCAACAGAACCTAATATATTAGAGAATGAAATAAGACTGGCGATCAATAACCTCAAGCATAACAAAGCACCAGGTCCAGATATTGTAACAACAGAAATGCTCAAAGCCATAGAAGAAACCGAAATAAAATTGCTTCACTTGCTCTGTAAGAAAATATGACATTCCAAGCAATGGCTTGACGACTGGACAAAATCTAAAATAACGATTATACATAAAAAAAAGGCAGCTTCCATAAATGCGAAAACTATAGACCATCTCCCTTATCTCATATGCCAGCAAAATAATGCTACATATATCAATGAGAGATTAAAAACTTTCCTACAAAGAGAAATATCCCAAGATCAAACTGGGTACTGGTAATCAAAGGCGGAGGTACTCGAGAATAACTTTTGAACATAAACTGGACTTTACATTATACAATTATTGTCATGTTATGCAAGAGCTATGCAAGACAGATTATGCACCTGCGCATGCCCAAGCGATATTTCTAAGCAATATCTGCGCTGGAAGTAAAATTAGTTCTATTTTTCATGCTATTGCAATTTATTATTAAAATTCATGTTGCCAATCTAACAAAATTTATAGTTTGGAGTAAAATTTAACCTTATCGTGTAAGTGTAAATATTATTGTATTGGATGTAAACATCTATAATTTATATTTGAATATATTTAATGATGGACTGAAATTTTGAAGTTAAATATCTAAAGTTAATGTTTTGATATGTTTTTTTTCTATTGGCAACAGTGAAAGTGGTCTTTAAACCGTGCACAAAAATAGCTCTGATGTAAACAGATCAGGCTAGGCAAGAGATATGTCATGAAATACGGACTTGCATAGCATGAGACTTGCATGGCCTAGATGTAAAGCTATCTTAAGACAAATAATACAAAAATGTAGGGAGTTTGTATATAATATTCCACTATACATTTGTTTCATAGATTATCGCAAAGCGTTCAAAAGAGTCAAATGGCTACACTTATGGTAGATACTAAAAGAAGTAGACGTAACACAACACTTCCATTATAACTGAACTATACAATTATATACGCTTATATATAACAATTTAAGTGCTTGACACTCTCAAACTAATTCCATCCAGAAGCAAGAGTAAGACAAGAATGTATAGATACTGTCTCCACAATTTTTAATACATATGGGAGCATATTATGAGAAGAACGCTTGAAAGATGGGAAAAGGACATCTTAATAAATTACCGAAAAATAAACAACCAAGGTTTTGCAGACGACACAGCCCTTCTTGCAAATAATCAAGAAGAGTTAATTCATCTCATACTACTGGTTGAAAACAGTAAAGTCAAATACTTGGTCGGCAGTTAAACATATCCAAGACGACTCTCAAATTTCTCAAGGAAAGCTAGAAGGCCCAAGATCACGAGGAAGATCCCCAACAAGATGGATTGACCAAATTACAGAAATATGCAAAATACCTATACATGAGTTAAAAGAAATGACAAGAGACAGAGACGACAGAGACCTTTGGAGACGGAAATACACGACATCACGATTACCACTACACTTGTTCCGGGGAGTCAGGTTCTTTTAAATAATTTGCTTTTTTCGTAAAAATATTTTAAAAATTCAGTATTAATTAATTTATTTATTTATTAGAAAATGATTCGTACCGTTACTGCTTTCAATAATTTACGTTATTGAACTATTGTGGTTTTAATTTTAAACAAAATTAACCACCCGCAAAGTGTTTTTTTTTTTTCGTTAACCTTAATCTGTATTAAAATCGGTGAATAATATTTAGTATTTTATATTTTACTACATACTAGGAGACCACCATTATTTTACTTTGCAGATAATGATATTTTTGGGATTGAAGATGATCTACAAAGTTTATAATAGATCATTCTTATATTTGTATATGTCTTGATATCTAGAAACAAAACTAAATGCATGACAGCTTAAAAAATTAATTAAATTCAATATTGTTATAAACAAATTATACAATAGAAAACTGGTGCAAATAAGAACTATAATATTTAGAGAATACATATTTAAAAATTAAGATGTTTTACTTCTGTGGTGCAAAATACAGATGAGTAAAAGTTACGTATGCATTCCGTACTGTATTTTATTTCCGGTATTTTAATATTAATAAATAAATTTTGCATCCCAATTGATTTTAATAATTTTATTAATATTCCAGTCATCAGAGATTAAAATGTCACTGAACTCCTAAAAATCATACGATTAAGGTAAATTTTGATGAGATAATTTTGAACAAAAATGTTTATTAGCACTTTTTGTGTAAAATGAACTATACTCTCAAAAATAACGCATAAACCGACCGGTAATTTTGAAAATTAGTTATACGCGCGAAATCAATTTTAAATAAAATTTGCATCAACTCAACGGTAAAAATTCGATATCTTTTGATCAGAGTATCCTATCGACAAAAATCAAAGTGTGTTTTAAAGGTGAAGAGTGCAGCTATCGTATGCCAGTTTTGTTGCAAATGAAGTCAGTTTTATAAAGGTGTTAAATAAGTAAACGTTACGCGTTTTTTGAGATTTTTTATGACTCTCATGAGAAGAATAAAATTTATCGCTTCAGTAGACCGATCACTATGGAATTTCTATTATTATATCCTAATGTTCAAAACAAATAGCATACAATTTCGGTTTTGAGTTTGGGCAATAAACTTATGTTTCAGTGAGGCATTTGAAAGATGCCTAAAAACGCAGAATTTAAACCCTCACATTTCAAACTATCTAAAATGTTTAAAGCTGCTTCTTTTCGGTTACACAAGTACGTTTTTCGAAACTACACAACTTCAGCTATAAATCCCACCTAATACCGCCTTCGTGGAGGCATTCCCTGTAACATGTGTTCGTTTAAACTTTAAAAGTTTAACTTCTGCGTTTTTAGGCTCTATCAACGAAAATTCCACTACAACCGGTCAATGAAAGTGATAAATTTTACAGACTACAAAAATTGCATACGAAAGCTGCACTCTTTATCTTTAAAGCGTATTTTGATTTTTGTCGATAGGAGCACCCTGATCAAAAAATATCAAATTTTTACCGTCGAGTTGATACAATTTTTTTAATGGATTTTAAATAAAACGTCAGTTTTAAACGCGCGCGTAACTGACATTCAAATCACCAGTCGAGTCGTTTTAAGTGTGGTTTCTGAGAGAACGGTTCATTCTACCCAAAAAGTGCTAATAAACATTTTTGTTCAAAATTATCTCAGCTTTTATTAAAGACATTTTTTTCTACAGCGTACATATCTTTGGTAAATCGATTCCCCCCTAGGAGAGAATTTTTTAAGGAGATGCCGGTGGTAAACCTTTTTGCATGTTTTTTAGAGTCACAAAATTGACATTCTCGGCAAAATTCAGCTTATCCGTATGATTTTTAGAGGTCAAATCTCTGACGACTGGACTATTAAATATGTTTATTAGATTGGACACATTTTAAACTCACTCTATAATAATTGATTATCATTGGTCATCAAAACGCCGAACATGCTAATGTGTCAATACAAAAGTTGATTATGCATAATGAATTGCCTACTTTAGTCATTGTCAAATCATATGACTAGTGTCGAGGTCAAGGACGTCAAAGTCTCATTAATCGCGGTTTTTATCTTTTATTGACCAATTTACTAAACTTAATCCTTTATTTTTCAGATCGAATAATTTAATTTTCACGCTAGAGAGAAAAGAGTTCAAGTTCAAGAAAATCCATTACGAAAAAATACAGAAACAATGGCAGCCGTAATACCAGCCGTGACCAAAATTTCTCCCAGAGTAATAAGAATATTAGGGTGCAATCCCGGATTTATGACATTACAGGGAACTAACACGTACATTGTTGGAACAGGCAAAAGGTAAACAATTAGTTTTATCAACTAATATATTATAGGCGCATATTACATTCCTTGGCTCTATTTAAATAAAACCAAACATAACCTAAAAATAAAATACATCCAGTATTCCAGTCATCTAGCAAAAAGACAGTACATGAAGTCAATATAGTATACTTTTTGTAACAGATGTTCCATTTCAATTTTTACAATTATTTGACAGCACTTACCACATCTTGTCTATTAGGACCTTTTTAATATTAGGTGTGAATGGTCAACCCCTTACAATGACACTTTCAACCCCCTACAATGACACTTGTAAATCATAAATTGTAAATTTCCGAAGAAGTTTTTATTGTATATGCATTTAATTATTATCTTTAAGTTTATTAAAATCTATGAATTTTATATAATGTCAATACATTTCTATAATATTATGTGAGAGTATAAAAAAACTGAAGATATGGCAACTCTGACACCATTTAAGAGTATATTAAATCAAAGAATATAGATGCGTAAGCTAAGCTAAGCATCTATATTCTTTGGTTAAATGTCAGATATAAGTTTGGTTATGGTGGGTGCCCTAAACTAATCATTACCCCATGTTTTAGTTATAAATAAAGCGCTATATTAGTGTGTTAAAAAGTCAGTCAAGGGAGCTGTAATACTATCTGATTCTAAATCGGTTTTGCAAGTACTGATTGGATCTCCAATTAATGACTTTGTTAAATATAAACTATTGTCCTTAAAGCAGGCACAACATAATATCAATGGAGATGTAGATATGATAGCCAAAAGTACTTATAAGGCCAGAATATAAGCAATGATTGAAAGTAATAACGACTTTTTGCTACTAATAAAGAATGATATCAAGAACAAATGGGAAACTTTATAAATGAAAGTGTAGAAAGCTCATATCAGTCACTATTAGTCAATTCATGCATCTTTGCCCAGTAGCACTTATCATCTGACCTTTTCTCCTTCTTAATAATATTCTACCAGTAGTACTAGAATTGCAATTTACTATCATTGCTTCCCAGCCCATTTATTTAAAATATGAGTATCTCAGAAAGCCATTTGTCAAAGTAATGACACTTCAGTTGAAGCCATAAACTACATATTTTTCATATGTACCAAACAGGGATTCATCTAAATAGTTATTATCCAAATTGTACAAACTAATCATTGTAGGTTCAGTTAATATTTCATGTTTAATTGCCTCATTTGGCAAATCAGTGTATGATCTATTAATTGAATTTCTTAGGAAAACAAAAATGAACAATTAGTCACTAAATTTAATCTAAGATCACACTGCAAGATCACTATGTTCATACCATAGTTAATCAAACTCACATTTTTACACACATTTAAAATTAGGAGAATACATTGATAATAGGTGCCAGTCAAACAGTGGCTGCAAATATTTTTAATTCAATTAATAGTAATTAATTTTTAACAAAAATGTTATTTCATTCATTTATTTTTTTAATAAAATAGGTATGCTGCATTTTTTTGAGAAAAATGTTTGCCTGAGAAAAAATGATAACAAATTAGGGTTGCCAGTAGTTAAAAATGTAAGGTATCAAAGATAAAGTAAAATAGAGCTCTAGTTGCCAAACACATACCTTCTAAAACAAACCTTTCCATCTTGGTTCTATAATTAATATGTATTTTAGGAGAATATTGATAGACACAGGAGATGAAGGAATCCCTGAATACATAAACCATTTAAAATCTGTCTTAACCTATGAAGGCATTGATTTGGCCCATATTTTCATAACTCACTGGCATCATGATCATATTGGAGGACTCTCTGGCATTTTGACAGAACTTAAAGAAAAAACAAGTAAGTACAGAATTTAGACATTTCTTTTGTTTGTATATTAAATTTCGTAAAATTAAAAGGTTTTGAATAAGTTATTCAATTTATCAATTTAATGCGAAAGATAACAGGATGATTTTTGTTTATAATTGGTTATCAGAACTGATTTTTGAACCATAAATGTTTGTTTTATTTAAAAATTACATAGTAATGAATAGTCATTGTTATAGTATATATTATGAATTTACTATGAATTAAAAATGCAATCAGGCTTTAATATCTATATGATCTTTGTCTAAACTCTTATATAAACATAAGAAAAATGTATGATTCTAAAACTGGTTTCTTGTGGCATGTCTAATTCAAATATCCAGAAATCATTAAAAAAAAGCTTATTTAATAATTATGTTAACTTCTAATTAGTCAACCGTTAATGAGTATATAACCACCAAAGTTGTTATTGATGTTATTAAAAAAACATATGAAATATCTGAAATTGGAAGAAATACATATTAAAGGCCTGTAATTTTAGAACAAATAGCAGCAGACTTATTAAAGAATCATAAATAATATGGAATGTATGACTTCTGTATTTACCTTAAAAACAATAAAAAATAATGAATACCTTAAATCTGACAGAGTCACTGGGATATTCATTTAAAGTGAGGCTATATTTTAAATACTTCTCATAGTTATGGAATATTGGTGTATGTCTTACACTCTATTCTACTGATTGATACTAATGTATTATATATAATTATGACTAGTATTAAACAGTATCTACCATTTGATAATGTAGTTTTTGAAAAGAGTTTAATACACTTTCATTATCTATTTCCTTTTTGAATTGTCACTAATTAAGTATTGGTATATTTTCAGAGCATTGTCAAGTTTGGAAATACCCAAGCCTTAAAGATGACATCAACAAGAACAAATTGATAGAATCATTTAAAGACGGCCAAGAGTTTGCAGTAGAAGGAGCAACACTTCGAGTAGTTCATACACCAGGACATACAGATGACCACATAGTGCTCCATTTACTAGAAGACAATGTCATCTTTAGCGGGGACTGTATCTTGGGAGAGGGCACAGCTGTTTTTGAAGACTTGTATGATTATATGCGTTCCCTGCAAGATATTGCTAATCTACAGCCTGCAATTATCCTTCCCGGGCATGGAAATACTATACAAGTAAGTTCATTTTTGTGAAATATTTATCATTTTATACAACCTCTTTTGGGCAACTAAAAAAGATGTTTTAGTTATAGGAAAAACTCCTAATCTGGATATTCTGTATACAAAACCTGTTTCTTTATTTTGGTGGCTAACCATTTGCTCTTTGTCTTTTTGCAGAACCCTGCCGAGAAAATATCCTTCTACATCAAGCATAGGCTCGAACGTGAATCACAAATAATGGAAGTATTAAACAACAACCGCTCAAAGTCCTTTAATGAAGAGGATCTGGTAAGAATGATCTATGAGGAGCTCCCTGAAAGCTTAACCAAAGCCGCCCAGAGCAATGTTAATCATCATCTGCTTAAGTTACTCAGAGAGCAAAGGGTGAAGCAAATGGATGACAAATGGCAGGTGTCAGATTTTAACGAAGTCAAATGTCGTTAAAAGTATTATTTCATTGTAATTTTAGAGACTCCAAAGGCTGTTACTATTTAAGTTGTTTTTAGGCTCGTTATTGTGATAGCTAGTCATAGGTTATGTAATAAACAGCGTTTTAAGTGGCTAGATGGCAAGAGGCCAAAAAATGAAAATTGGCAGAGACAAAACAAGGCTTAGAAACTGTGGTTTGTTTTCATAGGTTGTTCATTGCAAATAAAGTGTTCAGATGCCAATAGCTTGCATAAAATCGCTGTTTTACTACCGTTAATGTAATATTTGGTTTTATTTTTAATGTAGATAATATCGATAAGGTATTTGTATTATGTAGCTATATCTAAATGATTAATTGAATAAATAATTTCCTAAAATTGCTGTTTTTTATTTGTCCTTTTCTTCATATGGGTCATTGTACAATTATTGTAAAGAAGTATAGGATAATAAAGAAATGTTTAATTAGTAAATAATTAAAAAGAATAATTTTGAACTCATTAAGACATTAAAAGCTTACAATCTTAAAACTATCAAAGTAAACTGTCGTAAGTTGAGAGGTAAATGTAATGTGAATGGATGGAAGAAATCCTGCTAAAAAAACTATGCTAAACAAGCTAATCAGATGGGGACAACCTAAACTTAAATATCTTTTTTAGGAAATCTTCATAAGTAGGGATGCGGGACGGGCGCTTTTCCCTGCATGTCCCTCTAAAACTGCACTTTTAATATTATCGGAATGATTTCATAATTAAAGTTTTACAAAACAGAAAATTTTAAAATGTTTTCAACAATTCTTTTTGATTTATTGCGATGCACGCCTGTTATGGAAAAAAAGATGTTTTGGCTTAGGCCCTTCTAATAAATTCTCACTCTAAATTACGGCGACAGCACTAGATGATTGATACCTTTGAATTATTATGAACCTTAGCAGTTCATATCGCTGCTCATTGCGTGTCCTAGATATTGTAACTTCCTTATTTTTATTGTGTTTATTATTTCGCATTCTTTGTCCATTTCTCGTAATACTTCCGTGTTAGTTTTCTTATGGTCCATGCTATTCTAAGCATCCTCCTGTAACACCACATTTCAAAGGACTGTGACTTATTTGTGTTCTTGCTTCAATGTTCAGCTTTCAAGTCCATATTGCAATATCGAAAACACGTAGCATCTCAGTGCTCTTACTCTCAGTTCTAATCTAAGATCTTTATTGGAGAGAATTGTTTTCGTTTTTACAACGTATTTCTTGCTATTTCTATCCTGGCTCTTATTTCGGATGTTTGATCATTATTGTCTGAAATCCAGGTTTATAGATATTTGTATTTATCAACCCCTTCTATCTATACATTTCCCAAATGTATGTTTGTTGGTATATTTATTTTCTTTATTATTATCATGTATTTGGTCTTTTTTATATTCATTTTTAGTACATATTTTTCACAAAAACCGTTTGTTTTGTTTAACGGTAATTGGAGTTGTTCAGCAGAGCTTGCCATAATCATGGTGTCATCTGCATATCTTATGTTGTTAATAGATCTTCCGTTAATTATTATTCCTTCACATTGAGATAGTAATGCTTCTTCAAAAATGGCTTCACTATATACATTAAATAGTAATGGGGAAATAATACATCCCTGCCTAACACCTATCCTGATCTCAATTTCTGAACTGGGTTGTCTTTAGAATTTGGACTAATTATTCATGTCTTACTTTGTCAAATGTTTTTCAAAAGATACTAAAATCTGTGTTTTTGTCTTCATATTTAGGTGTCTATCCCATCATACTGAGTTAAATTGTCGGATTGCTGTTCTTGTTTGTCCTAATCTTTGTGTAATTTCTTCCTCTGTTGTTGCCTTTGTCGTGATTATAAACACTAAATATTTTAATTTGTGCTTTCCTTTAATTGTTACGTTGTCATCAATATGTAGATCTTCTATGTCTTCTTCACTTGTAGAGAGGTACTCTGTTTTCGCGAGGTTAATATCTAGGCCTGCCTTGGTATATTCTTCTTGTAATTTCTTCATCATGTAGCTGAGGTCGTCTTGGTCTTGTGCAATCACTACTTGATCGTCTGCAAAGCATAACGTATGTAAGTACGCGTTGCGTACCGGTACTCCCATGCCTTCGTATTTTCTTTTCCATGTAGTCAAGACTTTCTCTAAGTATATTGTTACGATAAATTAATGTCTCGTAAATATTCTTTTTTAATTCTGTATATTCTAGATTTTACGACCCTTCAGCCAGCTGGCAGAAATCCCAGGTAATAAAAATCGGTCAACTACCAATCGCACTTTCTGGAGACAGGCCGCTATAAAAAACCAGTTCGAGACAATTTAGGTCAACCTACGTTGACGCTTCGCGAGAGATCCCATGCTGACGGCATTTCATATAAATAACGGGATTTTTATTGTGAGGAGCCAGTCAGAAAAGAAGATCGCGGATATCGGGTTTTTAAACGTAACGATCGTATTAAAATAAATTATGTAGTTATTAGTGTGAAATAAATTAGTTCTATTGTACAAATAAATAAACTGTTAATTAAGATGTAAGTGCTATAAATATAGAAACTTTGATAAATAATAAAAGCAATAAATTAGACTTAATAAAGACTTAACATTGGTGTCAGAAGTGGGATAAAATTGTGAAAATGGCGACGATTTACGAGCTCACAGTTACGAATTTAAGAAGACATCTCGAGGATAGAGAATTAGCTTCTACCGGAAAAAAGGCTGAGTTAGTCCAACGACTAAAGAACGCTTTAGAGGAAGAGGGTTTAGACCCGGAAACTTATATATTTAAAGCTGCTGTCATCTCGTCGATTTCGAAATTAGAGAACAAAGTTTCTGACGATATTTCGAAAATTTCTTCTGATTTAGCCAAAGTTTCTGGTGATGTAGCCAAAGTTTCTGGTGACATCGCATCAGTAGAGAACAAAGTTTCCGGTGACATCGCTTCTTTAGAAGTTTCTAACGAGATTTCTTCTCTAGAAAGCAAAGTTTCTGCTAACATCTCCTTGGAAATCCCTAAAGTCACTTCTGATATGTCTGCCCTCGACGATAGAATGTCGTCGTTAAAAAACCAAGCTGCTGCCGATATGTTGGCCTTCGAAGAAAAGATATGGAAAGGAAGATTGAGGGAACAGGAATAGCAGAGACAGTCAACAATCCAATTACAGTAGAGACAAAAGAAGACGAGACGAAACGTAAGTTGGAAACACGGCCGAAATTTGAAAGAAGGTGCTGTTAATGTCAAAGTCCCAACTTTCGACGGAAAATCGTCATGGAACAACTACATGAAACAATTCGAATCAGCTGCAAGAGCGAATGGATAGTCTGAAAAAGAAAAGGCTGTAAACCTGACTATCGCTCTTCGAGTAGATGCCTTAGATGTGCTCCAGATCATAGCCGTAGATGAGACGGATGATTTCGAACAACTTAAGAAGAGGTTAAATATGCGATATGGCCACGAACACTTGGAGCATGTATATCAGTCGCAGCTTAAAAATCGAAGACAAAAGAAAGATGAGGCTCTTCAAGAATATGAGGTAGATATTGCCAGATTAGTACGATATGCTTATCCAACAGCTCCCGAAGACATGATGGAAAAGTTGGCTTGGAAAAGCCAGTATGACCCTCTCATACTAATAGCTTCTTTGAAATGTCGTGAAGATAGTGTATATGTAGATGGAGAAATAAATGGTAAAAAGCATACGTTGTTGGTGGATACCGGAGCGACCAGAACCATTATACGCCCGACAGTTATAAACAGCCGAAAGAAACTGTTACCAACGAGGTTGCGACTTCGGACCGCTACGGGTGAAAATGTCAACATTAATGGAGAAATCCAGGTACAATTAGGAATTGGTGCAGAAAAGTTTGTCCATACTGTTATAGTTGCTGACATCGAAGAGGATGTTATTGTAGCGTGATTAAATAAAACGAGCGGTTCGAATTTATATAAATATATTTATTTATAACTTTACAGTTCGGTACTCTCTTATCAACTAAACTAACTCCTAAGATCGTTACATATATATACCAAAGTTACTATTTTCTAGAAAGTTCCCACCTCTAGGCGTATACGTGACCATTTGTTCTCCTGCCTTCGAGGGATCTATTCATCGATGGTTCTCGATGCCGAGATGCTTCGAGATGCAACCGTTAGACGGGCCGCACCGAATGCATGTTCGTAACACTGCTCCCCTCTTAGATCTGAGCGTCCCGATCAGCAACTCTATATGTAGGCCCAGGATGGCGGAATCTACAGGACTCTCCAGCTCTGCATGAACCCCTCAAAAAGAAATAACAGTCTACTGTCTTTGAAGGACACGTTCTCTTCGGATTAGTGCAACACACAGTAATTCTTACGCCGGTTTCTCGGAAGATTACTTCAATCATGCTTCTGACAATCTTCCAATCCAGATTATCTAGTGCATGGCCTATCTTGGGTAATGCCAAATTCTTAATGTCGTAATTGCAGACGATTTTCTTCAGATTAGTTAGAGCACACCATATATCCTCGTAGGTTGCCCTGTCTGTATACGACTTCCTGGTCACCATATACAGCAAAGATCGAGAACCATCTTCTAATCTCAGTACTCTTCCAACTTTAGGCTGCTGGTTTTTTAACTCGTCCAAGCGACCGAATTTCTTATAAAATACAGATGAGATTCCTTTAGTCATCTCAAGATCTTGGGCAACACAGTGGGCTAGAGAGACGTTATGCGGAACACTAAAAAGATCCTGCTGAACTTCTGTCGTCACGCCGAATCTAGCACTCTTTCTCTCTGCGTAATTTGACATAAACTCGTTAAAGCTTGGTCGCCGGTTATCTTTGATCTCATGTTGAAGGATTCGTACTTCTTCTGTTTCATTTGAGCCAGCATAAGGTGCAAGACGATTTATGTGAACTACTTTTGGTTTACCTTTCGGCAACTTCTTTAATTCGGTATATTACGTCATTTATTCTCTTTTTAATTTCATACGGACCCTCCCATTGTCTTTGCAGTTTAGGAGACAAGCCACGACGACGTTGGGGATTATAAAGCCAAACAAGATCACCTACTTCATAGCTTTCATTCTTGCATCGAGAATCGTATTGATCTTTCATTCTGTCACTGGCTA